GCTGGCAGGGGACTGGACTGCAGCAGCACAGAGCCCAGCGCAGGCTCCAGGTCCGGAGAGCAGCTGCAGCCTGTGACCCGCCACCACCCAAGCGCATGCAGCATGGCATAAGAAAGGCCATAAATCCCAGAGCCAGGAGCAGCTGGAACACAGAGCGACTTTTACTGTAAAGGCAGTGGCACATTATTTAAGGCTCCTCTTAAAACCTAATGTTAGGTTTAATAAGGGAGATAAAAGCATGTCAGCAGCTCTCCCTCTCAGGACATGACGCTCCTGGCAGTGCCCGCAGGATGGTCCCAGGGCATCCTCTCAGCACCAGCCCAGTGAACACCCCGCCCTGGGGACAGACATGACCCCGTTTTTTCCCGTGGGGACAGACATGCCCCGGATCCCTGCTGCCCCTGCGAGTCCTGCCGGTGAAGAGGGCTGGCATCATGTGGGCCACAGACACTGAGCCTTTGGCCCCAAATAGCCCCCAAAGGACTGTCTCCCCACGACTGCCCCAAGGCAGTGGGCTGGTCCCTCTGGCTCCCTGCGTCTCCCGGTGCTGACCTCTCCCTGCTGGCATGCAGCGTGTTTAATGCCTGTTCCCGCATGTCAGACGTGCCATCTCATTAGCACGTCTGTCCCCCAAAGTGGGAAGGGAGAACGCTTGAGACCTAATTGAATGTAACTAATTATTCACTCCACAAATGCTCTGTTTAAATGGGGTTGTGAGGGACAGAATTACTCATTCTGAAATGGGGAGAGAAAGAGAGGAAGACAGAGAGAAAACAAATAGAGGCGGATGCTGGAGCTGCAGCTCCCTCTCTCCCCAGAATACCAATTACTGGATGAAGTGATTGTATAAATCTTTACCGAGTGAACGAACTGTACTAGTCACTTACTCCTGTCCTCTTATTAGGAGGAAGCAATGAAAAATCATCCCATTCTCCAGTCCAGTTAAGGGCTCCCAGTTGCTGTGTCAGATGCTGTCCGCAGCTGGAGAGCTCGTCCTGGTGCTTTTCCCGGGTGCAGGTCCTACAGAGACAAGGCTGAGTGCGTGGCAGGGATGCAAACCACTCCCGCACCCCTGGCCCCAGGGAGGAGCAGTGACTGCATGTGCCCCGGGGAGCTGCAGGGCTTCTGCCCCAGTGGGAGCCAGGCAATGCCATGCAGCATCCCGGGACGCGGGGAGACTCAGGCTGGTCAAAGGCCCCAGTGCTGCACGAACGACAGCTCACCTGAGGACCCCAGTACCTGGCACAGAGGCACCCTGGGCCTTGTGCCTGCAACTTTCCTGCCCCCGTCTTCGGTGGGTCCAGCCCGGCCAGGCCACTGGCCCCGCTCTGCAGGCTCCCACAGAGCTCAGAGACCTCTCCAAGTGCTCACCAAACAGGGAGAGCACGGCGCTTCCCAAGTCCTTCCCATGCTGGAGTCAGCGTTTCTCACTCCCCAGCGTCTCTGCTTCACGGGCTGGAGAAATGCGCTCATTAGCAGTGATCTCCATCGCTCTTCCCTGCCACATCGTTTAATCCCAGATCCCTCACATGGTTTCTTCCAAACACACCCATTTCTGTCCTCGGCAGCGGTGTGGGATTGGAGAGGAGGTCCTGGCTGCACAGAGCAGGGAAAGCCAACAGGCTCGCCCCCATGCCCTTCCTGGAAGTGGGGAGCACCCACACCCTGTGGTCCTGCTGCATGAGCTGGTGAGGACCTAGCTAGTCCCACACTCCCCGCAAGCAACACCGGGACCCCCCTCATCACAAGGCACCCAGCACCCTGAGGGCTGGTTTACCAGGACAAACGCCACCCGGTCTCCACGTCTTGCTGCCGCCAGGAACAGAGATGCAGCAGCCCCAGGGTGCCCCAAGGAGGGACCGCGCTGCTGCATGGGCACCCCAGGACCCTGTGGCACTCTGGATGCTGCGGCTCCCCGGCTCGGCAGGGGGTGAGAAGCTGCTGGAGGAGTTGTGCGGTTGGGTCACTGTGAGGGAAAACAGACTGGCAGCAAGTCAGCGAGGGGAGGGCAAAACCTCCAGCCTGTCCTGCCTTGTACAGGATGGGGATTTAATTATTGCCAGCAGCGAGACTCCATGCACTGGAGATGTGTGTGTGTGGGTGTGAGGGAGAGATAACATCATCATCATCATGACAAATGCAGCTGTGCAGCTCCATTCTGTGCTTATTGGCTTTCTTCTGTTTATCTATAAATAATTGCGGGGACACAATAGACTTAAGACTGCCAAAGAGTTTGTCTCCCTCCAGCAACCGTATTGCCACAGTGCTGCCACCTTATCTGCTTGTAGAAAGATGAGGATGGGAAAAATATTTACTGTCAGGGATATTTGTCATCTGCAAACTACCTCTGCCTACAATCCGCAGCGGGGATTGGACTGACAGCGCTGATCTGTACTGCAGGCACGTGAGCCCTGGGGTTCTCCACGCTGCCCCAGACCCACCTGAACCTCCTCCCTGTTAGCTGGCAGCACTGTGCCCAGAAATCCACCATGCGTGCAAATCTACGCCACGGTCTGCAATGGCAGCCCAGAGGGATGAGGGAAGCAGCAGATGGTGCTGAACTAGGTACCCAGCAAGTGGCTTGACACAGAGGAGCACCATGACAGGACAACTGGGGCACTGAGGAGCTCAGAGGTTTGCAATGTTGGCAGCACCTCCCCGAGCGCACACCTGCACCCCCATGCTGCACAGCCAGGGCAGCGTCCCCCCCAGCACAGCAGCCCCAGTCACCGACCACCTCGAGAGCCCCAGGCCTCGCTGCTCTCCTGCAAAGGACAAATGCACCGTGTATCCCTGCCACTCTCTCGGCACTCAACATCCCCGCCAGCCCCGCTCGCCATTGGGATTCCTCATATCCTGCAGCCCAGAGGCTTTTGCACAGCACTTATCACTGCAGTATCCAAGAACCGATTTAATTGATGTGACACCAATTATTCAAGTATCACTAAATGCAGAACTAATGCATCTGTGTGTACAAACCTCCTAGACCCTGACCATGAAATTATAACTCTGACATGAAAGGAGCCAGGGCAGGAGCACCAGCTCTCAGCAGAGCCCCCGCCACCGCAGCGCTGGCCAGCCCTGCCGGGACACCTCCCTGAGAGCTGCGTGGAGAGGCAGCATCGCATGGGATGCCTGCAGCAAGGTCTGCATCCAGCTCGCTACATGAAGGGTCAGGGCCTGCAGCTCCCTGCAGACTGACCTGCAGCCATGGTGGGTCCCGCACAGCTGAGCCAGCCCAGGCAGCATCAGCCACGTGAGCGCTGGCAGGGCTGCCACGACCGTCGTGACAGCCAGCCTGGGGAGCTGCTTGCTCTGCAGGGCAGTGCAAGAGCCATTTCTGGGCTGCTCAGCGCAGCCCATGCAGCTAGCAAAGCTCTTGGCTTGGACATGGACTGGTGCTGGGAAAAGCCATTCATTGCATTTGAAATTTTACTGTGAAATTAAGCTATGCCTGGACATGCAGAGCTTGGCATAGGCAGCAGTTTGTATTTTGTAAA